AAATATAATAAAAAAAATTAAAAAATTAAGGTTGGTATTAATTTTTAAAAATTAAATTGTTGCTAACTTCGGGTTTAACGTTTTTCTATTCAAACTTTTTTGTTTTTTGAGATAAGTGCATTAAGTTTGGACTCATTTTAAAGGTTTTTTAATGAAGATGACAAATATGTCAAAATTGACGTTGACGTTTCAAACCGGAAGTGATTGTATCTCCATTAATATTAAAGTCAAATATGTCGAGTTTGGACTCATTTTAAAGGATTTTTTATGAAGATTACGAATATAATAATAAAATTAATGTTGACACTGACAACTGAAAGTAGTAATAATAGTAATTTTAATATATGTCTGTATTTAATCTACTTATAGCTACTTTGTAGTTATAATATTCATCAACGATGAACAAATCAAGAATGTATAAGTGCGATCTTATAGATTAGACATAGTGATGCAATACAAATTGATAAAACTTAACTCGATAAAAAATTGTTTTTATATCGATGTATTTATTTTGAACTTGACTTTTTTTTGTAAAAATCAATATTGTGAAAGTCAGGTATCAGAATTAATTAGAAACTATTAATTCGATTGTTGAAATGTAGTTTAATGTATAACTAAGTTTTGATAGATAATCTGGTTGTAGCGGCTAATGTCAATAGCCATTTCCAGTAATGCAGTATTAGGCATTACAAGTTTGTTGAATCATTTGCCATTTTAGCAAATTAATTTCCTTGCCCATCAAATTATTTCTATTTAATCTTGAACATTTTTAAATCATTCCTGGCAGAAAGCAAAGAAACAGAGACAACAAATAAGTAATATGGTGCATCCTGCTGTATTTTATTTAAGTCAAGAAGTTCAAAAACTGCATTTATTTATTACCCTATTTCTTGGTATATCTCTTTCTTGGTATTTCCTGGTTTCACTCATCTTTAAGATATATCTCATCCATCTTATACTTTGAGCTTTGGCAAACCTAACAAGGTTGTTAAATTCTTTATTAAAAAAATGTTATGAACATTTTTCTCAATGCAACACAATGATATCCGGGTTTTTAAAAAAAAATCGAAAGATCTTCAATTAATATTTTTAAATCATCTAATAAACATTAAATACATCTCAAATAAAATAACTTCGTGATCTTCGAAGAGATCATTAAAAACAATTCCGTCACGAAAAATTAAAAATTGAAAGAAAATCAACACGTGTTCTTAATTTAATTAAGATTAATAAAAACGAAACAAATTAAATTTTCTTTTAAATAAAATAACACTAAATTTATTTAATTTAATCGTTACAACGATCTTAACGATTTAAACATTATCCTTTTTGTATTTTCCGTGCTCGGAATTACGAAAAAAAAGAATAAAATAGTTTAAACCTTGGTTTCTATGCGTTGCTTTTTAAATGGCATTGAATTAACATTGGATTAAACACTAGATTGTTGTTATAAATATTTTCGGACCAGTTTTTTTTTTGATATCAATTTCAACTACCTACTTTAAATCGTAATTTATTTCAATTTTAATTTAATTTCTTGGGTAAAACAAAAACAAAGTTTATTGATCCTTTGTTTTTATAAAATAAATGTGTTTATTATCTATCGTCTCGGTTCGAAATAAAAAAAAATAAAAATAATTTTCTTTTTTGAAAAAATCAAATTGATAAAAACAGCGATAAAGGTGTAAATCGTAACTAAATAAATCACAATCGAGTATCTTTACAATATATCCTTAATCCGATAGTTGATTGACGAACAATGTGTTTATTATTAATTATTACACATGGAGCGATTTCTTTAAGTTTATTGGGGTTAATAAAGCATCGCAAAAATACGATTGAAAATGACCTTAACCGTATCAGATTCGCGATTAAATTTAATGTGATCAATGATAAATTAA